TAAATTACAGGTGTGTGCATCTATGTGAGCTCAATGATTGGCTCTGTAGATGAATTACAGGTGTGTACATCTGTGTGAGCTCAATGATTGGCTCTGTAGATGTATTACAGGTGTGTACATTTATGTGAACTCAATGATTGGCTCTGTAGATGAATTACAGGTGTGTACATCTATGTGAGCTCAATGATTGGCTCTGTAGATGAATTGCCAGTGTGTACATCTATGTGAGCTCAATGATTGGCTCTGTAGATGAATTGCAGGTGTGTATGTCTATGTGCGCTCAATGATTGGCTCTGTTAATGTATTACAGGTGGGTACATCTATGTGAGCTCAATGATTGGCTTTGTAGATGTATTACAAGTGTGTACATCTATGTGAGCTCAATGATTGGCTCTGTAGATGAATTACAGGTGTGTACGTCTATGTGCGCTCAATGATTGGCTCTGTAGATGTATTACAGGTGTGTACATCTATGTGAGCTTAATGATTGGCTCTGTAGATGAATTGCCAGTGTGTACATCTATGTGAGATCAATGATTGGGTCTGTTAATGTATTACAGGTGGGTACATCTATGTGAGCTCAATGATTGGCTTTGTAGATGTATTACAAGTGTGTACATCTATGTGAGCTCAATGATTGGCTCTGTAGACTAATTATCTGTGTGTACGTCTATGTGAGCTCAATGATTGACTCTGTAGATGAATTACAGGTGTGTACATCTATGTGAGCTCAATGATTGGCTCTGTAGATGAATTACAGGTGTGTATGTCTATGTGCGCTCAATGATTGGCTCTGTAGATGTATTACAGGTGTGTACGTCTGTGAGCTCAATGATTGGCTCTGTAGATGCATTACAGGTGTGTATACTATATATGTATGTATGTGTATGTTAGCTAAATAATAACAAAATCAAAATCCTGACTATTGACTACAATATATGTACTTATTTGTGTCAATTTTAATTTTCTTAATTAATTACCATTTAAATCTGATTATACTAGGGGTATGCAGCCTTGAGTTGTTGGTTCAGAATTACAAATAGGCGTCATATTCCTTTCCTGTTAATGGATACCTTATGATTAAAGTGGACACTTTGTTTAAAAACTTGGGTCCTGTGTTTATGTTTTGTGTCAATTAGCTGCAAAGTGGAGTGATTTAATCCAGAAATAGCCATCAATGTCATGTGACTTGAAATATAGGTCATTATTTCACTATAGGTCTTACACCACCATTTTGATTTTGATTTTTTGATGGAAACAGTGCATAGTAATCAGTTAAGTTGCTCATGATATGTTAAAGCGGGAGGGTCGTCGGTAATTGAGTCCCAAGCGATAATAACAACACACGCTAAAACACAAAGGCTCATGGGTAGACGCTTGTTTGTAAACAATGACACGCTATGGCCATCTGACGCATGCACAGCTGACGACTCCCCTGCTTCAACTCAGAAGTGATCCAAGAATTTGCACAAACTAATACTTTAAAGATTAAAAGATATAATAATTAAGTAAAATAGTTTAAAATAGAATTAAATACAATAAATACAATAAAATAAAATTAAACTAGAATATCAGAATAGAATAGCATGAAGGGGTTTAAAACTATATATTGTGTCTGTTACTGATAAAGAAAGACCACCCATACGGTTTTTGATCACCACATGGAGCCTCTGTCTAGCATATCACAACTTACACTATCCATATGATATCAGCTTTTTCACAGTCATCAGATACCTATGCATTGCATTACAAGTGTTGTGTGTATTGTAAACAGCTTCAAGGAGACAGATTTTCATGGGTGAAATTTTGTAGTAAAAAATTTCTGTGGGGTATGCACAGATTTCAGTGACTTTAGCAAAATCATAAAATCCTGAAATCCAGAAAATTCTTTTTACTAAATACGACAATATTTATTTTTGGCAGGGAAAATATTATTGTAGGATCACCAACCCCCTGAACGTATGATATATTTTTAACAACCTAAAATTAAAAACAAAACAAACAAAAAACATAATTTTTAAAGTATGAGAATTAAAAGTTGATGTTGGCAACCTAGCAACCTAGACAAATAACCCTTTGACCCCACCCCTGCCCAACCTAAACAAAATGCTTTTTGTTGTTTTGGGCTTCTAAAATATGAATTTTAAATTTTAATTTGTACATTTCACCAGTGTTGGCATGGAGTAAAACATTTGTGAATTCAATACATTCTCAATACATATATCATCTGTCTTATGTTTGGGACAAATGACCCTGATTTTTAAAGCAGAGAAATGCCTGTGTAAATACCAGACAAGCCTTGTCTTCTTTGCTGTTTGCTGAATGATTATCTGTTTATATTGCTTTGATTTATGAAGTGCTAGAAAAAATTTAACAACAGGTGCCTGGTTGTTATGACAACAAGTGACCATATACTCTATGTTAAGGTGGCAGTGGAGACATATGAACACTTCAGCTAAACTAATATTAGCAATATGGCTGCCTTTGTTCATAGACATAGTGTGATATTTCACTCAGAACTTACTTTTGTCACGTAGACAAAAATGACAAAAGTTGAAAAGTGGTGTCTCGTAAAAACAAACAGTAAATATTGTCAGAATTGGAGCTGAGTCAACTTGATTGATGTTAGCATCTTGATATAGTGACTGTATACTGAGTGTGCTTGCATTTGACAACAATTTTAAAATTTGTGGTTTGGTTATTCTGGTATGGCAAAGTAAACTTTTGTCGCCCGTAGATAATAGAATTTATAAACATTTTGCAGGTGCAGGTGGTCTTGAAAAAAAAGTTGCTCAATTATCCGACCATCAACAACTTGTCTTTTGTCATGTTTCTTAAAATCAAACCAAGATAAATTTTTTTCTTATTTTTTCCAAGATTTTAATCAAAACCTGTAGCCAGTTAAAAATGTTGTCAATTTGTCCTGAAAGTATCAAAAATCAAAAAAAAATTTATAGTAAAATACTAAAAAAGACATTTTGGGTTAAAAAAATAGTACCCAAAGTGACAATTTAAAACCTTTTATAATAATAGTCGCCATAATTTTATTAAAAGTGAGACAAGGTGACGATATTGTTTACAACAAGTCAAGGCCACTTCAATAGTTGTATAGTTGGTTGTTTACCGATTAAAAACACATTAACAAGCACTTAATGGTCAATGACCGAGTAAGTCAACAACACAACAATTCAAGTCATCAATTAAATGATCAGTCACTTTCTCTGCATATTATTTAACAAATATAGCTGAAAAGAACCATGGTATGACTGTCTGTAACTATGACGCCACTTGTCTGCAATCTGTTTCAAATAACACCTGAAGTAGTAGATATCTATAACTTAGCTTTATCTGTACACTTGCTGAGAAATGGAAGGCTAGATATCAGTGGGCTAAACCTATGTATGTTGTGTTTAATTTTGAGACCTTGTAAAACATCTCATTTTGGGTTTGACCATGCAACCCTCTGACTTTAAGCTAAACTAACCTAGGTTGAGGTTAATCTGGTCACACATGTTTTCCTACACTGGGTTAAAATTATCTCATGTTTTGCTACTGTGATTATGTGAAGACCACATGTCAACATTTTCACTGTATATCACACAAGGATGTTTACACATTGCTGGCCTTTGAATGCTCAAAATGATATTCATACCGGGATTGGTAGTTTAAAATAATTTTAAGGATATTTTGTTGGTTTGAGGAGGACTGTTTCTATTGCATATGGAAAATTGGAATTTTTCTATGTTAATACTGTGGATCAGATTATTTTCACATAGTGCATCTCTGAGAGCAGAGTTAGCAGACAGGGTTCTTGTTTAAAAGGTTATTTTTAATGAATTTTAAACATTTCTACTTTATGTACCTCCAATATACACAAGAGTTTTTTCTGAGGTTTCTTTGATTGTGTTTTATATTTCATTGTATTGTACATGTGAACGTACTACTAATTGATAGTTTTTTGGAAGATACAGCACATTACAGTGTAGATACAGCACATCACATGTAGATAAACCTATCTAAAATTATCTTATTCATTTGTATATTGGTGATTGTCAATCTATAGTACATACATGTATTTATTAAGTGCAACATTACAGGTGTGTTTCCAAGGGGAAAATACAGTCATATTGTAATGATTTAGTATACAAGAAATGTAGTTTTTGGTTTATATGCTATTTTATTGGATATGAGCTTCTAATAGAAGAACTATAATATTATTAAAATAATAATATATCAATATATTGTCTTTTTTTCAAATTAGAAATAAACATTGAAATTGTAGAGGATCCGTGTGGAACTGATAACGGTGGATGTGGAGGATCATGTGATTTCCAAAATGGGAATATTATTTGCAGTTGTAACTCTGGCTATCGACTCACAGGTGATGGAAAAGGATGTGAAGGTAGGTGTTATACTGCCCTCTGCAATTGAAAAATATTATACTTTTGTTTTAAGTTTGTCAAGTGTTATCTTCTCTCTAGTGTTTTTTGAATAAACAAATGCACAACTGTACTTGAGTTAAAGTAATCTCTGTTGCCTCACAGTTTTGAAGTACATGCCTTATACTTAGTAATATTATAAATTAAATTTATTTAATTCTTTCTGAGGAATTTTACGTGTTGCAATAAACTAATATGGAGGCAGCCATCTTGAATACATTCTGAAAATCTATTTAGTTTCAAGCAGAATTCAAGATGGCTGCCAGATATAGTAAATATCGGTAAGAAAAATCACTTTTTTATTTTTTTGAGTGTTTGCTTGACCTATTTTATTTTAGGAGAAACGTCTATGAACTGTACAAAACCTCAAACACTTATGATATCTACACTGGTCAGTGAGAGCTTTTCTGAGGACTATACAAAGTGGAAATGAGACCTTATAACAGTTAACATAATTATTGTAAAAATTATTAGTGGCAACAAAAAACCAACAAGTGTATGGTTTCTCTACTTATATACATTGCTATCAGGGAAAATAAATTGGGTGGGGAGGTTTCATTGTGAATTTAAAAGAACTGTATCATTTTATTTCTTACACACTGTCATTTTAAAAACCGGATTAGCAGTTTCTTGAAGTCAAAGCTATAATATTTTGTTGCACCTAGATATAAACGAATGTACTATGGAAGAGGCGTGTTGTGAACAAATATGTAATAATAATGCTGGATCATATGAGTGTGGTTGTAGTAATGGATTCCGACTCAAATCAGATTCATGTCAGTGTGAAGGTACGTATGATTACACCCACTGCGGGCAACTAAATAAACTGATTAGAAAAAACGCTTTTTATCAATCTTGCAATATTCCGAGATACATTGCTAGTGGTGTTTTGTTTTGATTTTTTGTTTCTAACAGGCTGAAACAACTCAAATTTCAACTGAAATAATTGTATGAATTTTATTTCAAATTCTAGCACCCTTGTCAAATGTAGTGGGATTTCAGTGTTTATATTTTCTAATGCTTAAGGGCAAAGTCAAAACAAGCACTGCTGGCAATTAATGTTTCTTGGAATATTGCAATGTTGCAAAGGAGATTAAAAGAATTGTACATTTTCTATACAAATATAGCAAATATGGTACTCTCACTCTCTCAAAATGTTGTTATTTGAAATTGAAAGTACCAGGATGTGTGACCTTAAGGGTCAGAACGTACCAGGATGTGTGACCCTCAGGGGTCAGAAAGTACCAGGATGTGTGACCTTAAGGGTCAGAAAGTACCAGGATGTGTGCAGACCTTTTGGGGGTCAGAAAGTACCATGATGTGTGACCTTTAAGGGTCAGAATGTACCAGTATGTGTGACCTTTAGGGGTCAGAAAGTACCAGGATGTGTGACCTTTAGGGTCAGAAAGTACCAGGATGTGTGACCCTCAGGGGTCAAAAAGTACCAGGATGTGTGACCTTTAGGGTCAGAAAGTACCAGGATGTGTGACCCTCAGGGGTCAGAAAGTACCAGGATGTGTGACCTTTAGGGTCAAAAGGTACCAGGATGTGTGCAGACCTTTTAGGGGTCAGAAAGTACGAGGATGTGTGACCTTTAGGGTCAAAAGGTACCAGGATGTGTGCAGACCTTTTAGGGGTCAGAAAGTATGAGGATGTGTGACCTTTAGAGGTCATGTCTAAGAGAAAGTTTTTTTTATTCAACAGATGTTGATGAATGCCTGTCTGATAAAGGTGGCTGTGAACAATTATGTGTTAATTCAGTTGGCTCTTATGCATGTGAATGTCATAACGGTCATGACCTTGATGTCAATGGCAGAGGCTGCATATGTAAGTATCACAGAATTGAGGGTTCAAATAAATGTTACTTAATTACATTAGTGATAATATATGCCAGCATGGCCCATCATGTGTTTCAATACTTTCACAGCATTTCAGTCTTATTCATTGGGCCAACTTGAATGTAACAAATCAACAAATTTCCTGTCATTACAACGAGCATCTAAAATTTATTAGTTTACTGATGATGTTAACTAAAACCGAGACCCAAAACTATTAATAATATAATAATTTTAACGAAAAACATACTACAGAAATTGTTTTTATGGTGGTATACACAAAAGAAAAAAACAAAAAGTTTACGAACAAATAAGAACAGGATTTAACTAGAAACTACGTATAAACAAAAATGTATTACTTAAAGGACAAATAAAAGCTACTATAAAGCACTAATACTACTTAGGTTGGTGGAGCTGTTACATGTATAATTCATCTCTGATTTTCATACCTGACTGGATAAATTGTGCAACATCGATAGAGCACTTCTTCATAATTTCAATAAATTGAACTTCAGAGGGCAATGTGTTGAAATCTTTAATTTTGTTTTTACTCTGTCTGAATTGCCGTATTTTAACAAAGCAGTTGTGCAAATTTGGCAAGTTTTTCTGTAGCCCATCAAGGGTTATGTTGTTACAGCGTACAAGTGTTACGTAAATCCCTTTTATGGGTCAATAACATGTACAAATTGCATTCTGATTCATTTACATATAATAGTAAACTACATACTGGTTCTCAATTGAAAGTAGTGCCAACTAACGCATGAGTTCATACTTTTTGGTATTCTCGTCATAACTTTAGTAATATACATCTTTTTTCTGCTTATAATAATAATTTGAAGAAGGATAACTGCATAAAATGGCAACAAAAAATGTCTCAATCTGTGCAAACGTTTGTGTAACAGGATTCTATATCTGCCATACACCAAAACACTCCTGTGTCTGGAGTGTTCAAATGTGATGTAAACATGACACGCATTTTTCAAATAAAGACTTTTGAGAGCTAGTGTTCACAGCACGTTTTTACACATTTAAGTGTTTTTATGGATGAATGAATTATATTGTTTTCAGTGACGGATGTATAACAATAGTATATATTACAATATTTGTATTATTTATATGTATATTAGGGGGTGGTGGTTCGCCAGGATTGAACACTAGACCACCACCTGTGGCACCCACTGTAAGGTTTCATGGAACACCAAAAGCTGTTGTATCATTAGATTATTTAAACCATGGTCGCCAAGCATTGAATGGAATAACTTCAGTTGAGAGTAAGTTTTAACATTTTTTTCTAGTTTGTCCATTGCTAGTGAATTACTGAAAACATAGCGCCCTCAGTGGCAAATAAATAAAGTTATAGTATTTGTTTTTATGCATAGTACTGATATTTGTTGATTTTTTCTTTGAATGCAGCGAATGGTTTACAAGGTAACTTTCGAAATCATGAAAATCAAACTTTTTCTAGATATTTAAAATAAAAGGAATCTCCTATACTCCACATGTTTTTGCTGGATCATTTATTTTGGTATAGCCATCATAGTATTATCTATGGCTGTAATGGAAGAAAGTTACAGTAGCAGAAGAAATTTTGTTGTCAGTGTTGTTGTTTTTGTTTCTTCTTGTTTTTCAATAAATTCTTATATTAACTTCAATTTATTAATTACAGTATGAGGTTTTTTTCATTTGTATTAAATATGCATGTTTCTTAGTGACTGCAAAAATCCACTTTTATCAACAAATATCATCTCTGATTTGAATTTCGACCGAGTGTGAATCATTCTTTTATTTACTAATTCTTTGATTCCCTTTCCATTTCTAGAATGTCAAAAAGGTTTCTTTGGTTCAAATTGTGAATACAACTGTGATTCCTGTATAAATGGCGGTGCGTGTAATTTAGATTTTGATGGTTGTGAATGTCCTGCTGGATGGACTGGATTGTTGTGTAATGAAAGTAAGTAACCATTTTTTGAATTTACATTCTGCTGTTTTACTGTAAAAATAAATATTATCAGTTTAAAATTGTGACTAATGGCAATTATTTTCTAAGAAGACCAATTATTCCGTCACTAGTCAGTCTATTCTGCATACATTCACTTATACATGTTTGACTTTTTTTCATACAGGACAGGATTGGTTTCTAATTACCCAGCATGCATTTAAAGTAGTTCTTTAATATTTTGACACAAGTTCATTTATCTTTATATCTCTGGGTCATATTATTGATTTCTTCCAAAGTATAGATTAACTTGACTTCCAAAGCTAGAAAGATTATTTCAGTTAAATCCTTTGCATTCCCAGTAAGACATTGAAGGCTGCAATAATATCTTGTCTGTGCTTCACCCTATGAATAGAATAGAATAGAATAGAATAGAATAGAATAGAATAGAATAGAATAGAATAGAATAGAATAGAATAGAATAGAATAGAATAGAATAGAATAGAATAGAATAGAATAAATAGAATAGAATGATGCTTTATTACATCCTTAATGAAATCTGACATTTCAGTTTTGGTAATTGCTGTATTAAAGCTCTTTTAAAATAATTACAATTAAACTACACATAAAATACAATAATAGATTTCAAATATGAGATGCATCTCCTCCAGTTCAGCTATAACACTCCTACAACAGGTTGTCTGTCTTCCATGGTTTCTTGTTTTCGGAGGTGTTCATTTCAGGGCAGTCTTAAGGATTCTGTCATCTGTCATTCTGAGTACATATCTGAGTCATCTCATTATGCATGCTTCGATCCCAAGTTACATATACTTTTGGAGTTGGTCTTCCTAGAGGTCAGTGAACTTTTTGACATTATTTACTTTAATTGCAGCTTGTCCTGAAGGCACGTATGGTAAAGCATGTAATGAGATATGTAGCTGTCTGAATGGTGGAACCTGTAACACGATTACTGGACGATGTACCTGTCCACCTCATGTATTTGGGATCAACTGTGAAGATGGTAAGTTGAACTTTGACCATGACTTTGTTAAACATAACAACTACCATGCACAATACATCTTTTATAATTTTCTTTTTGCCAGAATTAAAAAAAAAATGAAAAATACAAATTTATTTGTGCATGTAGATTTTAGAAAACAATTGAAACTGGAAACTTTGTTTTGCCTTATTTAAACTCGCACTTCACAAACATAACTTCATGATCTAGCCACCTGACCTAATCAGTATCATCTTTAAATTAATTTTTATGAAATTATTATGTTTCAGGCTGTGCTAAGGGTCTGTGGGGTTCCAGCTGTGAGAAGAGATGTCAATGTCCAGGACAGGGCAGGACATGTGATCGTGATTATGGTACATGTGACTGCGATCCTGGATTTTTTGGAATAAATTGCAATATACGTAAGTCACATGTAATGCTATGCAACACAAAATTCTCAATTTTCATCTTTCTACAATCCCAATAAACATTTCCTGGATTTACCATTGTAATTATGCATACTGTTTTGCTCTATTACTAATGCTTTATTATTTTATAATAATATATACCGTATTACCCCGGGCACGCGCCCAGGGGCCTGAACGTACAAAATCGGGAAAAATTGGGGGTGGGCGCTTACCCGAGGACCACCCCAAAAAAGATTTTAAAAAGTTGTTTTTGTGATCATATGATAAGGTCAAATAAAGGAATGCTTTCGTACACTTTGTACACGTACTTATTTCTTGATTTATGCGAGGTTTCAATAAACGTGAGCACTCGGTTAAGAACTGTGGGAACACTAAGACACAGGGTCAAATTTCAAAAATAAAACTTGTTTTATGTCAGCGAATGAAGTTGTATTACTCACTGAAATTGACTACAAACTATGGTAAATATTGTAATCAATGCACGGTTACATTTTTAGTAACCGTGATCAGTGCAAGTCGAAACGGCCGGGAAAAACTACCGCTTGTAATCCAAGAAGGCGATGACCTCATTAGCATAATTTTGTTCACGCACGTATTGATACATCGCATCGTAATTACTGAAGAATAGCAGACAGGGTTATGAAACAAAAAAACCTTTTATTACTGATGTGAAATGTTTATAAACTATTGTGAATACATAAACATATCCAAATGGCGATACATAAAAAAACAGACTGAAAATAAACTCTGGTCGACCTCATTAACATGATTTATTCACGCACCCACACACGTGACAAAATTATGATGCAACAAGTTCCCATCGTCGGCGTGCCTCATTATGGTTATCATTATGGACGTAATGGAAGGTCGGCAAAATGTTTTTTTCTTCAATGACAGAAAAATAATCCACATGACCGTAATGCCATAGCTGTGATGAGGGATGGAAAGAAAGTAGCAATGTCTCAAAAGTGCTAGCTCACGTTCACAGTCAGCTGGCATCGATGTCGCTGGGTGTATATGATAGAGGGAAGTTGTGCAACCAAATTTGCCGAGTTCGAAGTTTTTCGCCGATAAAAAAAATAACTAAGGCAAAAACTCACGGTTTTTCAGCATTTTTGTAATAAAGACATTATCCTCTATCAATAATCCGCCCCAAATAGAAACATTTCCACTAATTCTTGTGTTTTTTCAACGTTTTTCGAAAAACCTGCGATCAGGCTGCGAAAGTAGAACATTCCGGAGGGGTGAAACGGAAGAGCCAAACTTAACGCGTAAAAATAGAACGCGTATTTTGATCTCTACGTGGCCAACCAATGGCTGGACACGGATATGTTTTTGGTCGTTGCCAAAGAGCCCCGCGTCCATCGCCTGGCGATGTTCTTCCAATGAGTTTTTATGTAAAAACACAAACAAAACTGCCCTTTTCAGGGCCACCACACACTTCAAAAAAAGAACTACCGTAACAAACACACTATTTAAATAAATCAAACGTGTTCGTTTTTGACAAATAAAATTTTATTGTTGACATAATTCTTGGCTAAAAATCACCCTGGGCGTTTAACCAAGGATGTCCCCAACATGTAACTTTTGTGAAAACAGGGGGGTGGGCGCTTGCCCAGGGAGGGGTGCGTGCCCGGGGTAATACGGTATATACCCCCAACTCCCTCTTTTTGATGCAAATTCACAAAGAAGTCTTGTATATAGTGCACCTTCCTTCAGAAGAATTGGACAAAATAAATATCGTACATATTTTGACTAAAATTAGTAAAAATTAACTAAAATTTGTCTGTTAGCTCTAAAACTAGGCCTCCTTTCCAGAAATAATGAAGAATGTTACAAAAAAAATTGGGCGAGAAGTTATGGTAGTGAGAGGGTTGATAATCCATTATACAATAATATATTTTTAGCTCCGCTGTCGACTTTGTCGAGCGGAGCTTATCATATGAGTGATTGTCCGTCGGCGTCTGTCGCCCGTCGTCGTCGTCGTCCGTGTCAATGTTTTACTTTTTCGACTTCTTCTTGAAAACTACAAGCCTGAATGCTGTGATACTTGGTGTGTATGTACCTGGGGTAGACCTCTCTTAGATTTGTTCATTTCATGATGATATCTTCAATTCTCTAATTTTGGTGAATATTTTTGTAATTTTTAGTAAAAAGTGATATTTTCGACTTCTTGTTAAAAACTGCAAGTCCAATTGCTTTGATATTGCATATATATATGCTACATGTGAACCTTTCTCAGATTTGTTCATTTCAGGATGATATCTTCAATTCTCTAATTTTGGTGAATATTTTTGTAATTTTTGGTATAAAGTGATATTTTCGACTTCTTGTTAAAAACCGCAAGTCCAATTGCTTTGATATTGCATATACAGATACTACATGTGGACCTCTCTCAGATTTGTTCATTTTGTGATGATATCCTCAATTCCCTAATTTTGGTGAATATTTGTGTCATTTTTGGTAAATAGTGATATTTTTGACTTCTTGTTCAATTGCTTTGATATTACATATATAAATGCTACATGTGGATCTTTCTGAGATTTGTTCATTTCGTGATGATATCTTAAATTTCTTAATTTTGGTGAATATTTTTGTCATTTTTGGTAAAAAGTGATATTTTCAACTTCTTGTTAAAAACCAAAAGTCCGATTGCTTTGATATTACATATATAGGTACTACATGTGGACCTCTCTCAGATTTGTTCATTTTGTGACGATGTCTTCAATTATCTAATTTTGAGGAATATTTATGTCATTTTTGGTAAAAAGTGATATTTTAGAATTATTGTTGAAAACAACAAGTCCAATTGCTATACATACTTATACATATTGTTCATTTTCTAATGATATCTTCAGTTCTTTAATTGAATGTGCCTTGCTAACAGCGGAGCTATCTCAGCCGAGAGGCTGCTTGTTGGTTTATGTGTTCATTTTTAATAAGCAAATATGGTACTTGATTCAGCTTCTACAAATTTGAAAAACTTGTACATGTATGTTCAAACATGTCTACCCACAATGCAACACAATAAATGTCAGCTTCTTTGAGGTGGTGTTTCTATGGCTTTGTATTTTGGATGTAGGTTGCACAGATTGCCAGAGCTATAAAAGCTTTGCTTACAATGTAGGTGATAGAATGGAGCTTTCATATGGCTGATTGTCTGCCGTTATCCATCAGCAACGACTACATTTTCAACTTCATCTTGAAAATGAAAAGTCTGATTGCTTTGATACTTGGATGGATTTTTGACTTCTTCTTTAAAATGATTAACTCTTTGCTTTGATGTGAAATATGTAGACACATTGGATTGGCCGCTGACAGATTTGTTCATTTTGTGAAGATAAGTTTAATATTTTTTAGTTATTTTTGGTGAGAAATGTTATTTTCATCTGTCAACAGGCTGTTTGTTTCATTTTAATAGTTAAGATTTATTTTGTTTTTCACTGCAGAATGTCCTGAGTATACATATGGTAGACAATGTTCTGATGAGTGTGAATGTGATCGTAGACACTCTACTGGTTGTCATCCTGTACATGGTACTTGTATATGTAAACCTGGATATCAGGGAACAAGATGTAGCCAAGGTATTAACAGTTTATAATCAAATTATTACCTTGTCCGTACCATCAAAGATGGAAGGGAAAGGTATATTAAGGGAAAAATTTTGTTCGGCGTTGTTGTCGTCGTCGTCGTTGTTGTTGTTGTCGTCGTCGTTAATAATTGTTATTGTGTGCATAATAACTTTACTAATTCTATTCCAAACTTTATCAAACTTGGTCACCTTATTCATCAGTATAAAGTCTTCCCTGAGTTTGAACAACAGATGTCCTGTATGAAAATATCATGCAAAAATTGAGAAAATCTGATAAAATATTTTGACTGTTTCTACTTGACTGATCACTGGTGATACACATCAAAGGTCACCGATCTCAGTGGAAATATGCATTGTTGTATGTGTTCAATGAAGCAAATGATTTATCTTGTAATAATATCCTTGGTAATGTATCTCAGAATCCCATACTGGGTTTCAAAACCAACTCATGGAGAGATTGCACAGTCTGATACACATTTGCAAACCTACCAATAAAATCTTTACAGAAAACAAGATGTCAGAAAATCAATATAAGCACTCCTATGAACTGGGTGCCTAACTTTGATCAAGATCTGAAGCTAATAGAAAATCTGTTTAGTTCAAAGTTATCAAATCAAAAACAATACATAAAAAATACATTAAAAGCAAAACATTTCATCCACATTTTAAAAAGAAAATTA